GAGAGAGAGAGAGATCGGTCACTCCTTCGAAATTTCATTTTCGTTTAGTGCAATCTCGATTCCACAACCTTGTTCCTTTTCTCGAGATACATCTCGTTTCCTGCCCGTATTACACGCCGCTGTGAAATTATAACGTGTGTGTACACGTAAGATGGAAACTACTCATCTTGTCGAGATGCGGAACGTAATTCTTTCCATTAGGCGTGTTTCAAAGCAGATTGCAACGTCATACGTTGCCAATCAGTAATCGCGAATAGTAATAGCATCTCACGCTCTCTAACGCTCTATCTGCCATTAACCATCGACGCTTTAATCGGGGGAAGGTCGTCACATGAAAACGCGATTGATGAGGTGTACCTAAAATTATAGATTCCGGCGAGTCTTTTAAGGAGAGTCGAGACTCGGATAGGATCTCATTATCTCTCGACAAAACAGCGTGAAGACGGAAGAAAATTAGGTCGTGGGAGCGATTTTGCTTTGTCGATTTAGCTTACCTTCAATTAAATATATGTCCAATTAAGGTTTCTTTGTAAGCATGATTTCTCTTTTTCGCGCGATTAGAAATTTCTCAGATAATTTCTCAGATAATTAAATCGAGATAAAGGATTTGTCTTTATTTTCAAACGCTTGGTTTTTAATGTTTTATAAAATAATAAACGAATCCTTCTCAGGTAATAAGCTGACGTTATCTGTCGTTATTTTAGCGAAAAATGATGTTAAGATGACAACAAATAACGTCAGTTTGCTATTTGGATTTGTGCAAGATAATGCGTACAACGTACAATAATGTGAGATCTTATTGTAAATTGGTATTGTTAAAAAAATGTACATAGCTCCACTTTGATTGTGCATCAAAAAAGTTAATTTCTATTAAAAAGTCTCCAAGTGTACACGTTTCCTTCACGGGCGAATCTTGCAATACTCGCACCAAAGATCATCGATCCAGTTTATGACCCAAGTCTCTCGGGGTCCATTGCGAGAAGCTTCCTCGGTTACCCAACCAACAACGACCAACAATACCTGACATTTCTTTTTCCCTGATCCTGTCGTAAGGTTGGATCGTTCGCTGCTCCCCTTCCCGCTCCAGAAGCCTCGATAATTCATTCGGCGGATCTCCTTCCCCTCCGTCGGTCCCCCGCGCATCCATGGGGGACCGTGAGACCGTTTTCGCCCGAGCGTGCTGCACGCCGGATAAAGAGGAAGTAAAAAGAGAAAGGTACGTGGCTCCCGCTCGCCACCGCCACCGCCACCATCACCATCACCACCATCACCACCACCACCACCACCATCACCACCGCCGCCACCACTGTTGCCGCCGCCGCCGCCACCATTATCACCACCACTATCGTCATCATCGTCATCGTGCGAGGGCAAAAGTGACCCGGCGATTCCTCTCCGATGGCCGAACGAACATCGGACGGGCCAGACCTGGTTGGAAAGACGCGCCGATGCCCCCGCGAGGGTTTAAAAATACAAAACCGACGTTATTCGCCGGTCCGCCCACGCGTGCCGGCAGAAACGGCGCTCTCTCGCGAACCGTGAGAAGAATTCGCTCGCGGGGTTCGGGAACATGTACCCGTCGCCTCCTCCCTCATCCCGTTCTCCCCTCTCTCCCCCTTAGCCAGTCTCCTTTCTCGTCCGGCATCCCTTCCTTGTCTTCATCGTTCTTTTTTTTTTCTCAAAACCTGCCTGCACTCTTGCAACCTGCGACCACATATGAGGGATCGAGAGGTTTCGGGAGTAGGAAAGGGGGTATGGAGGAGGGGGGAGGGGGGCGTCCGGGGAACCCGTGCGAATCGTCAAAATGAGCCTATCGTCGATCCTATCACGACGCGCGATATCCGGGTGTACATGAAAATAAAACGGCGCACAGCTTTATGTTCGGAGATTAATTGCCGCATTGATGATAATAGAGGAGTGTAAGATCGAAAGCGCCGAGCAATATCGATCAGGTCTCCGGCTACGGGAAGAATCAGACTTATAAATTTCCTGTCGAACTCTTCGCGTTTCGATTTCTTATCGCATCGCGAGTGAAGTGGGCATTTATTTACTTTGACTTATATACTATTTACCCTTAGTGGTAAAATATTTTTAATAAATTTTCAAAATAAAAGGAAGCCAAAATAAATCTTCACTTGAAAGATCGACATAAAATTATTGATAACTTGCGGAATTATATATAAAAATTAATTAACACATAAACGTATTGTATTAGCTCTTAGTATGAATCACATAGATCTTTTAAACATTCTTGCAGTTGGTTTTTTATAATTTTTTATAATCAGACATGTAAAATTCCGAAAAAGGTGACCAAGGATGTCGTGGGTCACGGAGCGTAAAATATGATTGATACGATTAAAATCAGAATAATCCAATACATCATTTGTATTTGTTTCTTTAGGAGGAGGTCGAGAAGGAAAAAAAATGAGAACTATAACTGGAACGAGATTTCTCTTTCGGCGGTTCGATGCACCGCGCGCAGTTGCATCGATGAAACGCATAATGACTCTTCGCGGCGATGCATGCCCGCACATTCAACGAGTCGAAAGGCGCAGGAAACGCGAGTCGAGCTTTGCGGCCGTTTATTTATATCCTCCGATATGCCACGCAAGAGTAAGCATCGCGATCGCGCAATGTCGGCCTCTGTTCGCAGCTAGAATAAAGCTTGATTCACAAGCGTTTGCGGTCACGCGCTGTCGATGTATATTATACGACGGCGATACGATCGCGTTCTCGCTTAACAAGTAACCGCGTCGCACGTTTCTGCGTATCGCAAAGCTTTTCAGCCATAGAATATTATCGCTTATCAGCCCGTTGATGCATTTATTATTACACTACGAAACTGATGATATTTAAAATAAATGTTCAATTTAGCCTTCTAAATGGTAATACGTTACGATAAGCCGACCGCGTGTTGAATGTCGACGAATATGTAACGTCATTGCTTCGTGAGCGATTGGAAAATTAATTTGTTTCTTGACTTTTTAAAAATATTCGCTTATGATTTTAACAGTTTCGAAGATATACACTTGAGAACAATTGGCCTTAAATGAGGAATGCTTTTGGTTATGTTTGAAAATTAATATATATAACATTATGTCTCTTTTATCGAAGCGGATAATTTGAGATGCATTAACGACCGATTTCATCGATCTGTTTTACGTAAGATTGTTTATCTCGTTTTTCTTGTTTTAAAAATTTTTTATCGTAAAATTCATCACCAGGAATAAAGTACGAGACGCAATTCAGGCGCGTGTGTGAGTCTCACTTAATGTCCGGTTCGCTCACCGCGATCGCAAGTGCAATGCAGATGCAGGTGCAACAGCACCTTGCGCTCGGGCTTTGCCCGCGGGCACGTGTGGTAAAAAAAAATGAAAAGAAAAAAAGAAGGAAATAAAAAATCGTGGAATTCGCGCGCTCGCCGTACGCACTCCCACGACGTAAACTAGCTCCACTCACGGTTCGGTATATTAGTAAATAGAACGAACGTTAATTGGCGATCTCGCATAATCGACGCGAGGGAGTCCGAGCCGCGTCGTAATGGGCGCGGCGCACTCGGCTCTTTAAAAGCGCGCAGATCGCATTCATAATTATCCATTCGCGCGCGGCCAGTGCCACATGCACACACGCATACACGCACACATGCACACGCACACGCACATGCGAATTGCGCATACACGAGCGCTCGCGCGCCTTCTATTAATAAATAATAAGGCGCGCCGGCGCGTAACGTCGTTACCGTTGACCCCGGCTTCCTTGATAAAGGAAGTCGAGTTAACGAGCGACGAATTAAGGAAGAACGCCGAACTTTCACCGCGCGCCGGGAGACACGAAACAGCGGAACTTTTCGCCCGGCTGCGTTTAACGACGCGCGAGATATAAACCGACGGACCGACCGAGCGGCCGATCGATCGATCTGGTGAATCCAGTCGGCTGTGATAATTGGAGAATCGAAATCGATTTATAGGACGGACGAGCATAACCTCGTTATCGATTTTTCTTTTTCATGCCTCTTAGAAACGGATTTATTTTAATGGGAATTGCGCGCAACGGGCGCTTCTGCCGCGAACGTATTTTCACCGCGAGACGTAAAACGGGCGATTATTACGAGGTCAAGAAGAATAATATGAGGAACGACGTTCAACGACAATTGTTGAATGACACCCGTGGCCGCGTGTACGACATCGGCACGCTACAAATCACGCTACAAATTTAATTATCGGACGCAGGTGGCGGCTGCAAAATCAAGAATGCGTGGCATCCGACGGGAGGGGCAGCGATTTTTCATGGTGCCTCTGAAACCGCTTTAACGGTGCTTTGACAACTGAAGCTGCACAAATTCGTGCGCTCACGCGACGTTGTCGTGTATCGTATATCACGTCGATGCATTTAATTTATAAGGATACATAAAGACACCAAACAAAATGCACTTTCAACGGAATTTTCGCCATGCTACGAAAGCCTCTTGATTAATTGGGGTGAAATACGAGTAAGGAAATATGGCGATTAGATGCATATTATTTTATCGATGCATTTATATATCTCTGGCCAATTTACTCCTTTAATTCATTTCGCCGTGTATTTGTTTCAATAATTTTACGTCATACGTCACTTACGTGACATGATCCAATTGATTATATCATATCGGCGATTTATTCCGCAAACACTTAATTTTCGTGCGATGACTATGATGAAGCTGTCAAATTCGTCCGCCTACTACGCATTTAGTACTATCATTCATCCTCTTTCTCTCTAAGAAATGATTTCCGCAAAGCGCGCTTTAGAACGTGTAAATTTATCGTACAAGATAATTACAAGATATCGCGAACTTTCCTACTGGCAACCTTCCCGCTTTAGATATAGCGGTAATATAAATTGTACAGGAAAAACCATGAATGCATAATAGCGTGTAATTTTATAATACGTCTTATGGAATGTCTAATCTTGATCCATGGCGTTGATATAATTATTAGATACGGAATTCCATCGTATAAATCATTATGTGCCATCGTTTATATTATGGAACAATTTAGCCAGTAAACAAATAGTATTAAATAGTTAACAAAAGAGACATAATTATCAAAATGATATTTTTTTTTATAGATTTTGGATTTTTACGACCTTAAATGCGTTTAAAAATTTCTCAAAAATTATTTTGCAGTTAAAAATATTTTAAACCCGAATAAATTGTTTCTCGATGTTATAACAATCGACGCGGTACATTTATGTAGCGCGTTCGCATTGTAAAGCTAGTTTGTACAAATAGGAAAATATCTCTTGGTCACCATCGTGAACGAGCCAAATATTTTCTTCGCGAAATCGCGCAACTTAAACCCCGTTGACTGAGTTCCGTTAACATTAATCGATAACTTTCATACGCTGTCATGTGTATCGCACGTCGTACCCACACACGTGCGGCACACTTCGGACATGATATTTATTCCGCCGACTACGCGGGAAACAGAGTCCGATACACAGATCTGCTCTAAACGCTCGTGCACAATGCAACCGCGACGGCGACCCGCAAAAGGATTTATTGCACGTGCGAACTTTTCAACGCCACGCCGCCGCCGCCGCCGTCGCCGCCGACGGTTATAATTTCAGCTCGCATTGCCAGGCATGTAAATTGGCGCACCGGCGAAGTGACTCCGCTCGGAAAACTATTGTTCGATGGAATTCAGATTTGCATAACGAGCGCGTGGACGTGAGCCGGATATATCGGGTGAGCCGTAGGAATGCAAATCGTAGGAAGTAAGACTGGAACGTCGTTGATGATGCGTCGCCAACAGTGTCCGACGATTACGGTGGACACGTGTATGCATTTTCGTCTATTATCGCGCGAACCAATAAACTTTGCCACGGAAATCGACGGTGATAAACTTTTATCGTATACAATGGCGAAGTACGGTGCGCTATTATACGATACAATAAACGCTTATCGCTCCAAAATAGTTTTATTAACACGTTGACTCGGGCGTAAGTTAGGTAGGCCCTTAGGGACCGACACTGACCTTTCCGTTTGGCCGGCATCGGTCCCTAAGGTCCGACATTGCGATTTTCATTTAGATGTCGGTCCGTGACCGTGGACCGACACTATCAAACTTATCAAATAAAATTGGTAATTCATAAAATATAAAAATGACATATTTACACTTTTTCAATGTAGTTTATTAAAGCAAATCTAAATATAAATTTGGTTTTGTTTTTTTTCACGCGTATTGCAAATCTTAATTTACGTTACATTAATTTATTTTTGTATTTTTATTTCCTATGTTGATGTATTAGCCGAATTTTAGAAAAATATTGGAACAGAATAGTCGCGTATCATCTCTTGTTTATGCTCCATATGACCCAGCTCGCGCTCAATTCTCTGCGCCTGTCGAATGGAAAGGACACCGAAATTGGCTCCGGAGCTAACGCATAGAATTAAGCGCTATAGAATTGCCGCGAGTCTCGCAAGTTTACGCAAATATTTTGTTATTAGATACTATTACTATTAATCATATACTTACGTACATCATATAACGTAATCATATACTTATAACAGTATATGAATACGTATATTATGTTCTCTTTATTTTTATGAATACGTTAATTATCGTTTTCTCATCTTCAGTTGCGCATTTATTTTTAAATGAAACTAATGAAACGTGATTGTGTTGTGGATGCATTTTTAGGTCAACAATGATAAAAACATTTTACCGAACGTGAAGCTGGTGATGCGATGGAGCGACACGAGGGGAGAGACCGTCGAAGCTACCAATGCGATGATCGACATGATCTGCGATGGGGTCGTGGCCTTTTTTGGACCGGAAGGCTCCTGCTACGTCGAGGCCATAGTCGCTCAATCCCGCAACATACCTATGATCAGTTATGTAAGTGAATCACGAGCTTTTACTGATTTTAAAGAGCCTTCTCTAACTATCGCGTATGCATATCGTTCATGTCGTTAATAAGCATGCTATTGTAACCCACGTTTATTAATAACACGACATCCTATATGCAATATTAATAGCGTTGCGCAATGAACGCATTATTTCATTTTATATTGCGACGTATGCTATAAAAGAACAAATATGTAAAATTGCAACAGCGAGTGTTAAAAGTCACGATTTATAATGGAAATGTATACACTTGCACCATAAGTCATTCGTTATAAATATATTTTGCACTTCGAACTTGTATAACTTTAACATTTTTTTCTCTCGACAATGTAGAATGTTTTATTCCAAGAATCTTTTTATTCTAAACTAACTTTGAATTTTCATTTATTTGAAATGAGTCTCTTTGTATAATTTTACAAATTATACGAAATCTAATTATATCAAAAGAAATATCTTATTACATATAATAATTATATATTAATTAAAAATTTACATGAGCATGTTCATTCCCATGCATGTTAGAGACCTTATCGAAGGAAGGGAAGGAGGGATGTGAATATAGCAAACCCCCGATGAAATCTCGTAGCGTGTCGTTATCGCGATGGTTTCGCGCAAGTTCGGGCGGAGAAGCCGACTGAAAACGGTTTCCGCCAGCGTGAGAACGGCGGGGTTGCAAGGCACTGACGGAAAGGCGAAAAGTTCGAGAGAAGACCCGGGGGGCGCGCGCGCGCGCGCGCCGGCGAGAGAGAGAGAGAGAGAGAGAGAGAGAGAGAGAGAGAGAGAGAGAGAAGAGCG